CATCATAAATGCCTCAGTCTGTCTGTATGGCTGTAACACTTTTCGCACTCTGAATGGCTGATGAAAACAGCCCATCACAGTGCTCCAAGCGTGGGGGAGTGCTGCCATGATTCCGAAGCCGTGCTGAGGACTGAACACGGGGTGAGGAAACCGAGGCCAGCGCGGCTCCCTCACCCCACTCACCGCAAGAGGAAGAACAGCAGCAGCACGGGGTGTTAGGTGGCAGCACTCCATCCCAACCTGTTTTTCTAAATTACTTACCAACATGAAACCTTTTTTGCCTTTCAGATTTAAGAGCATCTCCCTCTTTGACAGAGAAGTCTGCAATTGTATATGAAACATTTTGTAATTGGTCTTGTACTCCATCAACAACATCACACATTTTCATTTCATTCTGCACCTCTTTGACTTCCTTGCTTTCCCTTGCAACCACCTTTTTTGTTTCAGGGGATTGATTTTTTGAAACAGCAGTTGCTAAATCCCATTTACCTGTTTGTTTCTTCTTTCTTCGTACTGAAAACCAGGATATAAGAGAATCTTCTTCTGATTCATCAATTAAAAACTCACAATCATGTTCTATCTCTAGATCTAGCTCTTTCACAGGAGTAGCAGCTGGTGGCAATACTGGGGCTGAATAGCTAAGGATCAAAATACAAAAAAAGAGTATTAAAAGAAAAAGAAAAGTAGAATTTTCTAAATTATTCACCTACAGTATCATATCTGGAAAAACAAACAGTAACTTGTGAACTGTATTGTTGTGGATATTATGGCAATATAGCTAGAAAAAAGTTTTTAACAAGCCTTTCCCAGAATCTTTTACACTCTCCGCTACACAAAATTTTACTCTACATAAGGAGGTCACTGAAGTGTGCAACAAGATATTTTACCACTTGTAAACATTTCTTGTATATTCTTACATCCATTAAACTTCTGATATTCTTCCCAACTAAGAGACAAAGTACCTGCATAGATGAAAGTTTTAGAACTAATTCTGAAGTACTCCTTAAATTTTAGGCTCGGAAACCTGTGACTTCACAGCATCAAAACATGTTATGCATACTGCTCAGACAAGCAACTAAAATATTTATCATTCCATCCCAACAGTCCCTTTCAAATATCAGCCCACACTCTATGTTTCCTAGGTGTATCCCAAAATTCATGTCTTCTCATTTCCCAGACATTTTGGGAAGCCATCAGCACACCTCCCATCTGACTCAAACCAAACTCTTTTTCCCTTTAATTCAACTTTTCTGATAAGCAATTCTACCCCAAGAACTGTCCCCTACCTTCCCATTTGTCTTCCTCATTGCTCCAGTCCATCTTACCTCTTAAAAGACCCTTGTAAATTTCATAGATGATTTCAAGCCCCTAATCCCAATTCAAATCCATCACATCATATGAATTCCCTAGCTCAAAAATTATTCACACTTTTCTTTTACAGCTTTATTTTGTCATGCACTGCTTTTATTAGCACATTCAAGGAAGAACAATAATTGTCAAAATATAACTCCGCAAAAAAGTAAATAATTAACTAATTGTTTAAGCACCTTTGCCAGAATTAAGGCATTCTACTGTATTACTGAAAGGAATAATTCAGGGGTGTCAAACTCATCTGACCCCATGAGCCAGATAAGGGGTGAGGAACCAGTTTGTGGGCCAGACCTTATTCATGGATCAGCCCCAAGCACCACAGCCAGGGCACAGGGCCAACTCAGCCCAACCACCTCAAACAGCATATGCCCTGGCTGGGCCAACCCTGTACAATTCATGCAGTGGGCATCAGCCCTAGTGTGGGCTCACACTGCATGGGATGCCTGCACCAAACTGGCCCTGCAGGCAGCGCTTCACACGCACTACACACCCCAGATCAGCCCCCTGTGCTATATGCTGCACAACCCCCACCATCCAGCTGCTTTTACCACATGCCGCATGTGCCAGCCCTGGTCAGGGGCTCATGCTGCCTGCACACGGGGTGTGATGCCTGTGCTGGACCAACCCTGCTCACTGGCTCTGGCACGTAGGGACAGTCCATGGGCCTGATCTGGACCAGGCCCAGAGCCACTGCACAGAGCTGATCCCGAGCAGGCACTATGTGCAGTACACACTCCAGACTAGCCCCAAGCTTCGCATAACACCAACAGTTCTGGGTCCAGCCCCACATGACACATGACAGTCATATACTGCATGCAGTGTGCAGTTGGACTGAGACCCATAGCTTAGATCACAGGGCTCCATGCAAAAGATTCGGGTCTGAAAGCCTGAACACCCCCACGCCAATTTATAACACATTTATAATGTAAGGTTTAAATTTTGTTAATACAACCCTTTGATTTGTGTTAACCTACTAAAAAACTGTTTTATTTATTCTTTGATTAACACACCTTTTTTCAATTGTTTCTGTTATCATGGATGCTAAGAGTGCTGAAGAGAAATTCTTCTCTACTTTCTGTTCAGAAGGCACAGTAAGACATTTTACTCTTTCCATTGGAGCAACCTGATTTTCTTCCATTGCATGAGATACTTCCGAGCTTTTAATTTCTGTATGTCTGTAAAACAAAAAAAAAAGCATTTAAAATCATGCACTGTGAACAGAAGCACACTTTTAAAACAATGATCAGATCCATTACGAGGAGGAACTGCAATTTACACATTAGCAAAATAGCATACTTTTATAAGAAAAAATATTTTGACAAATAACTACATATAAAACACACACACACAGGGCTGTGTAAATAATTGATTTTCTTAAGTCTGGCAAAAAAAACCCTGTTAAACGGGAACTGAAATTATTCTTTTAGGTTTCTCACAAACTGAAATGTAACTCACAAAACTACAAGGAGAAGAAATGGCAATAGCCTAGTCATCAGGGCACTTGCTTAGGATACTGGAAATCAAGGTTTAATTCCCTTCTCTGTCTCAGTAAGAAATACCCCGAGATGAAAGCTTTTATTCTTTAGTTGATTCTGTTTCACTTTGCATAAGTGAATTGTGTGGAACTCAGGTCTGATACTCCTCAGGCAACTGTCATAACTATTAGGTTAAGTTAGGTATTAAGGGGTATACTTAGGTAGGTATTAAGGGGTATGGCTGCTTAATACCTACCTAACCATTAAGGTAGGTAATTAAGGGGTATGGTTAGGTCGGTATTAAGGGGTATGGCTGCTTAACCTAACCTATTAAGTTAAGGTAGTTTTAAGGGGTATGGCTGCTACTCCTACCCCTTACCGCTGATTGAAGACAGATCACACGACAGGCAGGCCTCACAGCCAATCAGTGGTAAGGGGTAGGAGTAGCAGCCATACTGCCCGCAGCCTTTTGAGCAGCCAGCATTTTCTTTTCCACAAGTTTTTCTTTTTTCCCACAGGTTTTGCAGGCATTGCCCAGATTTCATGGCCAATGCCAGATTTCACAGAATCAGTGAAACTGCGAATTTGGTATGTCTCTACTTGTCTTATAAGTGTCTGTTCAGTGCACAGCCATGCTACAGGTAGTTTCTCAGTCTTCTAGCATTCCACAGTTCTCTTTCCTATTGCAAAGGGGAAGGGAAGGGAAGGGAAGGGAAGTAGGGGGCAGTCACTAAGAACAACCTGTCTTCTCTCTCACCTGCCCACTCCCCTTCCAGGATGAGACCGGGGTGGATTCATTTAAATCATATTAATTTAAAGCAAGAATTAAATCAGCAAGCCAAAGCCCAGTTTAAAAACTTGGTTTTTATCAACTTTCTCATTGTATTTTTTCTTTTGTAAAGAAAGGTGTATTTTCATTAATTGATCTAAGTTAAAATATGTTGATTTACAACTAAATAGTTTTCACAGTAAAAATCCTTTTTGGAAATCCTACATTTTAGTATGCTGTTATATGACGAAATATATATTTCTTAGTCACTAGATGATTAATATTTTGCTCAGATTTGTATCAAGCTGCATTAAGACAGCAACCTGAAATTAAACAAACACATAACACCAGCACTTCAAATTCATTAAACGAAAACACTAATGTTTTTGCAGGGGTGGATTTGATTTAAATAAAATCGATATAGATCATGATATAAATCAGTGGTCAGGAAGCCTCAATTTAATCATTGTTTTCTACAAAAAGTGCATTCTTGTTGTTTGATATAACCTCAGTTCAAGGCTATGGAAGCAGGTTTCAGGATAGTCATCATATACATGTTTCTACATTTCTTCTTAGCCCAATGTTAAGAACTCTGGCTATGACAGTTCCATCTATTTTGTCACAATTTTGTTCAGAAATTGGAATCAGATTAGGCCAGTTCCCAATATATTGCTCAAATCAGTCTGCTACTGAGTTCCATCGCATGTCTTGTGGGAGACTTAGTTTGATTCACACTACTTTCTTCAGAGCAGCTGCTGCAAAATGGTTGTTACAGAAGTATTTTGCAGTTTCAACAAAATTCTGCTCAAAATGTTTCTGTTTCTACTGCCCTTCCCTCCTTGCATTTATCTACAGACTCCTTCTCCTTGCCCAGATCTACTCCACCCCAATAAACCTCTATTCATAGTTTCATAGTTTCTAGGGTCGGAAGGGACCTGAGAAGATCATCTAG